ATGTGTTAATAGTATGTGACTGGTGTTTGGGCGCTCCTAGTGCGGAACTGTACCAATTGAAGTGTTCATAGTGTGTGACTGGTGTTCTGGGCTCTCCTAGTGCGTAACTGTACCGATTACCAAGTATCAGAGTATCTGCGGTCCAGATCGTAGGCAAGTGTGGAGACCTGTTCGCTTCCCGGCGAGAAGCGATGGAAATATTGACGATCCGCTGCCATACAGGAAAACCCGCTAGTATAATTAGCAGTATACCATACGCAACAGTGTACAGCTTTCGACGTACCATGTGAAGTCGAACTTTTTTCTATGACAATTCTCATCAGGCCAGAGGAAGCTTATACAACTTTGATACTTCCTGTACATGAGCACACTATATCAATGAGTTTATTAGGACCTATCAGCTTTCCATACTATAGCGAGCTTAGGCACTTTCCTTCTCTGTATTAACCAATGCACCTTTGTGACCTCAACGCAGCGACACTCGCCACAACTACTCGAACAACTTGATATTGCAAGTCAAACAGAAATAGTGCTCGCCATTCTGCTTGTGTGTGGTAGACATCAGCTGCTTCTTGCAGTAGTGGCAGGTGAAGTGCTCCGGATGGTATCGGGTGCCGCCGGTTGCGGTGACACAGATGCCCTCGATGGGCTTATCACAGCCTTTGCACAGTGTCCCCTTGGCTCCGTGCCAGTGTAACTCGCAGTAGGCACGCGTTTCATATTCGAAAAACTGTGTGTGAGAGTGATGGGAGAACTAACATCAGTATGTGGATGTAGCACGCTGATAACTGTGCGCGTGTGGCATAGAAATTGGGGAACCAAACTGAGACTGGTCTGATAAGGACGGGCATCAATTACATCAGATCAGTGATTTGCGACGATAAAACTTTGGTGATTAATGAGGGCATGTGTTTGAGAAATGATGTGCCCCAAAGGACGGGTCACTACAAGTGCCAGCGTGAAATTGCAAGAAATTGGGCGAAAGAGTGGTAGGTATCCATGGGCGTGCATATATGCGTGCTACGATCCTTCTTGTTTGTGAATTTCTTCTTTTTTCAACGTATGCGTTTGATATATAACTGATTCAGTCCCTTATTACCGCTATTATGTGCTGCACTTTGCAATAGATCTCCACTAAGAAATCGTCTAGCTTTTAATAATGGGGAAGGGTTCTCACAAGCTGTATATCAGGCATGATAGTGATAGCTGCTTATATACCTGATAATCTCTATAAAAATCACACACAC